TTATATGGATACAAATATAAGTGATACCAATACAGTAAGGCAGTTTTGTTATGGTATGAAAGTGTAGTAATTAACATTTACTGTTAATTCACACAAATTAAGAAATAAACAAATGAATGATAAATGTTGAACATGTACAATGAAATATATTTTAGAAATCAATTAGGCCAGATAGGCCTTATAAATTTTGGTCTTTTTCTTAACATACTGAATGACCATTTACACTCAGGACCGAGTCGCCAGTAGGCAGTACAGATGTACAAAAATGTGGATAGTGTCCACATGTGGACACAGATGATGCCCCCGCTAGCATATCATATAGTTATAAAGGGACGCTACCCAAATTTGAACTTGATCTGAGTTTTGTGGTAATAAGCATTGTGTGTAAGTCTCATAACATTAGGTTGAGGCTAACTTAAGTAGAGAACAGAAACTCAAAATTCAGCAATTTTTCTATTTGTAAACACGCATAACTCTAGAACGGTTGTGTATAAGTTTTATAACATTTGGTTGAAACAAACTAAAGTTAGAGAACGGAAACGAAAAATTCAGCAATTTTTATGTTTATAAAGGGACATAACTCAAGAACGGTAAAAGTGTCACCACCAAATTTCGTACTTAATCTGTATTATGTAGTAATAAGCATTGTGTATAAGTTTCATAACATTTGGTTGTGGCAAACTAAAGTTAGAAAACGGAAACAAAAAAATTGTACATGATCTTAGTTTTGTGGTAATGAATATTGTGTATAGGTTAAATTTCATAATGTTTGGTTGTGGCAAACTTAAGTTACAGACTGGAAACTAAAAATTTAGCAATCTTTCGATTTATAAAGGGGCATAACTCAATAATGGTTAAAGTGACCCTACCCAAATTCAACTTGATCTGTATTTTATCAGTGGAAGTCAAAATTAAACATTGCATTGTATAAAGCATTGATTGTAGTTGATTCAACTATAATCATGGACAATGGAAGATAACTCCAATTTTAAAATTACATGTGTTTAGAAGAAAATAAAAATTTAGCAATTTTTCCATTTATAAAGGGGCACAACTCAAGAACGGTTCACCAAAATTCAAACTTGATCTGTGTTTTGTGGTAATAAGCATTGGGTATAAGTTTCATAACATTTGGTTGAGGCATACTAAAATTAGAAAACGGAAACGAAAAATTCAACAATTTTTCCATTTTTAAAGGGGCATAACTGTAGAACGGTAAAAGTGACGCTACCAAAATTCAAACTTGATCTGTGTTTTGTGGTAATAAGCATTGCGTATAAGTTTCATAACATTTGGTTGAGGCAAACTAAAGTTAGAGAACGGAAACCAATTTTGGGACGTACGTACGTACGTTCGTACAGTCGGACAAGGGTAAAACTTAATGCCCCCTCCGTTACGGCGGGGGCATAAAAATAAAGTGTAACAAAAGAACCTAGCATCATATTGCTAGTAGCGCCAGTAGCCTTGTTTGGTGAATTTGTGCTTTTTTTTTTTAATTTGGTGCTTTTTCTTTTTAATTTGGCTAATGGGCAAAAAATGTTTGGTTCAAATCTAAATAAAATGCTTTTATCTCCCTATTACTTACATTGTACATAGAATGGATACTACTTTGACAATTCCTTGTACATGAGAGTTGTCTGTCAAATCTTTATTTCACAAAGAATGAATTGCATAACAATGAACTGAGCTCAAAGCAAAGCACTTTAATAATACACTTAGACAATGAGCTCAATCCAGTGATATACTTTGTACTACAGGTCCTTCATGAACATCCTACTGGCCAAAACCATATCTCACAAACATGCCATACTACATGGTTGGATCAGAAGTCCTGAAAAAGACATGAACTTTATTAACATATTTTAAGTATATACACCGGTTAAAACTTTCACAAATTTGAGGTAAAATTATTCAGTATCTAGCAACTATCAATCACTTCATGCACAAATTGATATAGGTTGAGTACCCCTCTGTCAGAAATAAGAACATACCTCCACCTAATTTTAGTTAACTGATGAAGAAACATTCAAAACTATCAAATGTTATCTAATAGACTAGCTGCAATGAAATCCCAGTTTTCTAAAATGGTAGGTGGAACCTAAAACTCATAAGATTTTAAACTATGCATTTTAAATATTGAAAATATACATGTAATAATAGTTCTTCTCAAAAATTCGCTCTATTTTTCCTTACACAATGTATTTTGTCTTTTGTTCGAGACTGTATATTGACCTCTAGATGTCTTTCAATTACATCCAGTTTGGCGTGGGTTGATGTTTGATGTTTGATTGTTGTATATGTTATATATTGACCTGGGATTTGTTTATATAAATTAGGCGTGAAATAATTTTGGTTAACTGAAATTCTTTAACTTACTTCCAAATTAATGTTAATACTGAGGGAAAAAATTACATTGCTAATTAACCACTTTAACACACATGCAAACTTTTTGAGAGGAAGGCATAATGCATGTAACATATATTAGATCTTTTTTTAAACCATTCTAAACTACTGATAAGTGATAAAGTTTGTTAACTGTTACTTACCTTCAAAAAGGGGGTTGCATTCACTTTAATACATATACATATAAATATAATCAACAATACTGAGTGCAACACCTAGGATAAATAGAGGATTGTTTTGTAAGAATAGTTGCTGAAATAAGCAGGCAATATTCAAAGTAGAATAAAAAATATTACAGGACTGTATTTTAAAGTAATAAGCATTGTGCAGGGCTCACGTTACCATGCTACTGGGGCGACAAAGTCGCTTTCCCGGTCGCCACTTCGCTTTGACCAACCTTCAAAAGCGAAATGTAGTCGCCATGTTGTTAACGATACTCAAATTCAGTCGCTTTCGTCATCTGCAATATTCAACATTTACCAAGTCGATGAAACAGAAATTTCTCATTTGAAAGTAAAGAAATTCAAAGACATAAACGATTTATTTTCTTTAGGAGGTTAAAGCATTGATTTTAAAGTTGGTTGCATGTTATTTTCATAAAGACAACTTTTTTATCACTTCTGGTACTTGTTACTCAAGCGTAGATCAACTCATTCTAACTTTCGGCAAAATAAGCTTGTTACTTCATTAGAACGTGATGAAATTAAAGATTTCTTGCTGTTGTGCAATACACTGTGCTATTGCGCAATACTTAGTAAATCAGTCGTCAGACTATAAACAAATAAAGTTCAATTAATTCCCAGACATATTAGAAATTTATGAAAATGTAAAGGGAGCTTGCATCAATAGATGTAAACAATTCACTTAAGTTTCATGAGAATTGCTGACAGCATTTTTGAGCTATTGTCTGAAAACTGGAAAATCACCCCTTTTTTAATGAATAAAACCCCATCACTCAGAAATGTAAAATGTAAAATTTATAAAATTCTAAACGGAGCTTACATCAATATAGATATAAACAATCACCAAAGTTTCATACAAACTGCTGAAAGCATTTTTGATTTTTGTCCGAAACTGGAAAATCCCCCCTTTTTTCATGAATAAAACCCTGCAACTCAGAAATGTAAAATCTAAAATATATAAAAATCAAAAGGGAACTCATGTCAATAGATATAAACAATTCACCACAATTTCTTGTTATATGGATACAAAAAAGTTGGTGAAAGCTTTTATTGTCCGAAAACTGGAAAATCCCCCTTTTTTTAATGAATAAAACCCCACAACTCAGAAACATAAAATCTAAAATTTATAAAAAAAACTAAAGGGAGCTCATGTCAATAGATATAAACAATTCACCAAAGTTTTATGCAAATTAGTTAAAGTGGTTTTGAGTAAAGGTCCGACATGTTGACGACGGACAACGGTATACCATAGTACGTCCCGTAAACGGGCGTATAAAAATGACAGGGTGTCATACCACACCAAAACCTTCTGAAGGAAACACAAAGTTGGCAAACACATTTTTTTTTTCATTGACAACCCTGTATAACCTTGCAGCAGTATAGAGTCTACATGCATTACCTTGAACTTAAAAATATGTGGTAATTGTCAGTTAGTTATGTCAATTATAATTTACACATTTACTGAAACATGCCAGAGAAGTGCATGTACAAACTTTTGAATTTGATCTGCAAACTGGGAAAGCCATCCTTTTTTATGAATAAAATTCCACAATTTATTAAATTGAAAGGGAGCTTGCATCAATAGATATATATAAACAATTAACCAAAGTTTCGTGACAAATGACAACTGCTTAAAGCATTTTCGAGTTAATGTCCAAAAACATGGAAATCCCCCTTTTTGAATGAATAAAACCCCTTACATTGTAACTGGATAATGTAAATTCTAAAATTCCAAAACAATCTTAAGGGAGCTCACATCAATACATGAATATAATCCCATATAACTCTGAAATGGGAAACCTAATATTTATAAAATAATCAATTCACAACAGTTTCATGCAAATTGGTGAAAGCGTTGAAGAGTTTGTGAACAAAGCATTTTTAAAGTTAATGGGCGTTAACATGAAAATCCCCCTTTTTTAATGAATAAAACCTCACATTTTGAAACTGTATATTATAAAATTCCTAAAAATCTAAAAGGGAGCTCACGTCAGTAGATATAATCAATTCACCAGAGTTTCATGCAAATTGGTGAGTTAGTGAACAACATGCTAGAAACAGACAGATCAGGGCAGACAGACGGACAAAGGCATACATAGTACCATAATATTTCTCATGAACAGGCGTATGAAAACTGCAGGGTACTATTCCAGGCCAACACCCTCTGAAGGAAACACTATAAGGGAGCTTCCTTTCCATTTTTATGGGGGAAAAAGGGGGGGGGGGGCTAGGATGAAAAATTTTGTTCTGCATTTTTTTTTTAGTTCGAGATGTAATCTGTCCTGCCTTTTTATTTTTCACTCTTTTTTGTCCTGCCTTTCTATTAGTTTATCCTGACTTGTTTTTACATAAATTGTCATCCTGCCTTTTTTTTTCATAGTCTCATCCTGCCTTTTTTTCAAATTTCATCCTAGACCCCCCCCCCCCCCCCCCCCCCCTAAAATTCAAATGGTAGCTCCCTAAGTTAGCAAACAAATTATTTTATTTTTACATTGACAAACCTGTATAACCTTGAAGCAGTATTAAGTTCATGTATTATCCCGCATATTATTACATGTACATTGAACTAAAACAAATTGTGGTCATTGTCAAAATTATAATTTACAGTTTACTTTTCCAATGCTTTTAATTTAAGATTAGGGCATTTTTGTCATTGGAATTGAGTTTTGTAGTCGGAGATTACTCTAACCTCCAACGATTGTTTTGCGACACCAGCTAGGGCAGTGGGACTTCAGCTGGTCCCATATCAGATAGATGATATTTGCCCGTCCAAAGTGGATGTGCTGCTTCGTTGCTTCTGGAGTCAACTGGATCCATATAAATCAAGCCTCAATTTATTCATTTTTCTCTTCATTTAAGTAAGTTTGATCAACCTGCCACCCGTTATCTTCTCATATTTGGACAGTTTTCACATTGACCCATCCAGTGGCGGATCCAGAAATTTTCATAAGAAGGGGCCCACTGACTGCCTAAGAGGGGGCCCACCCCAGTCATGCTTCAATGATTCCCTAAATAATCAACCAAATTTATCCCACAAAAGGGGGGACCCGGGCCCCTGGCCCCCCTAAATCCGCCTCTGCCATCAATACTGACATTTTAGAGGGTATGAATGCCCTTTACCGGCAGGCGTCTAACTGTCATTTTCGGCTACTGTTAGCGTCAAATATGTTAACATTTTACCGTGATTCGTCAACATATCCTTATCGTGATTCATCAGAGGTCTAAAATAATTATCGTTACCGTTATTTTTGGCAAAAAATTAACGCGATCTGTCAAAATCTGTCAATTTTTTTATCATCTTGAAGAAAGTCTTCATTTTATCGTCATGCACCAAAAATTACCGTTGTCATTTGGCAAGATTTTTTACCGTTATTCGTCATGAAGGTACCCCCATTACCACCCTCATTTTAACTTTCACTTTATAAGAATGTCACATGACCAACATTATGGTAACTGATTTATGCAAATGACCCTTATTCAATAGGAAAACAATCTATATAAATCGAGCCTCAATTAGTTCATTTTTCTCTTCATTTAAGTAAGTTTAATCGACCTGCCACCTGCTATTTTCTCACATTTGGACAGTTTTCACATTGACACATCAATACTGGTATTTTTACTTTAACTTTAAAAGATTGTAACATGACCAACAGAAAAAGTAATTTACAATGCATTATGAGAGCTGATTTATGAAAATGACCCTTATTCAATAGGAAAACATAATCTAATAGTTCATTTATGATGAAAATAAGCTGAATGGCCGAGTGTGTTCTATTTGAAAATAAAGAGTTAAAATGCAGGAATCGCAAAAACAGATGTTGGACATCAGAGTAATCTCGGACTATGAGTATGAGTTTTAGGCAATTTGTAGGGGGGAGGGTTCAAGGGAAGCAAATGCTCTTTAAATTATGCATGTTTCAAAAATTGGGGAAAAATAACACAGAGCGTTGAGTCATTTTTTTCAGACTTTAAATAATGACTAATGTAGACTTACCTTCTAATTCTATAAAAAAAAAATCACAACTACTGAACAGGAACAATCATGGTACTTTTTTGTCTATGAAACTACACTATGACATCTGATCTTCAAAACCTACAAACAGACACAGAAATATCATCAAATAGTGAAATATAAGATTGATTGCACCTTGTATGGATAGTTCCGACACGTGTTACATGGGGAGCCCGTTTGTTTACAAATAATAATGTCACGTGATCACGCACTGACCGTCACAAATTTTTATCCTCCGCCATTTCTTGCACAATTCACAAATGCATAACCCATTTATCTTGCGGACATGCAATGGGAATGTGCACGGTTATAAAAAAATACAAAAATATTGCATGTACAGTTAATGAAGAAGTTATTTCATCAAATAGATAAGATTTTCACTCATGACACAAATTGACTGGGTGTCATCGCCATCGGGGAAAATTAATAAATGGGATTAAATTGACCGCCAAGAAGGTGTAGAGAACCACCTCTGGAGAACCTTAACATTAATAAGTAATACTCACCAAAATTTCTCTATAATTAACGCTATTTTCTGTTGGAAAATTTCAGAAAGATGCTGATAAACTTATTTGGTGACACAGATTATTTTCTTGTTTTGGCGCGAAAAATATTCTTACTCTTAATGCTTGACGTAACAAAATTTGTATAGAATTATATTTTACTAAAGCTCAGCGTAAATATGCAGAAGCATGACAATACATTAATGATAAAATGTGTAAATATTTCTGTAAAAGAATATAATTTTACTTTCCCAGTATACTTCACTTAGAATTACATTTGAGCGCAAGAAAGTCTCCTTGTGAATCGGCCAGGGGTCGGAAGTTCAACATATCAACGGAAATTTTTGCGTGTGCTTGCGTTGCTTTACATCGAGGCTACAGCTTTTCAACCAATCGGGGAATGTTTACTTAGGGCATACATCTATTTTTACTGACATGTTTAAATCGGGATTATAGAAAAATGGAATGTTGTTGGTAAATACAAAACAGAAAATGATGACCACTTTTAGCAAAAGATAAATTGGATCGGGGGTCTGTGAATTCACATTATTTGTACAACTCTCCTTACTCTTGGGAAGCGTGTGCTTTACATCGAGGCTTGCGTTGCTTTACATCGAGGCTTGAGTTGCATTTACATTGACGCCATAGTAGTTCAACCAATCGGGGAATGTTTATTTGGGGCATACATCTATTTTTACTGCAGGTTTTGGCATATTTTAATCGAAATTAGAGAAAAATGGAATGATGTTAGGAGATATAAAACAGAAAATGATAAATATTTTTAGCAAAAGATGAATTGGATCGGGGTTCTGTGTATTCACATTATTTGTACAACTCTCCTTACTGATGGCAAAAAATGGAATTTCCGTGACCTAAATGGTTCGCGAAAATTAATATTTTTATATATATATAGTAATTAAGTAGAATTATAAAATCGATTAGTTTTATAATTTGACAACACTCATTGATATTGGAAATACTATACTACAATTAATTTATTTAATACATGGAGTGTTTAGTAAAACTGTCGACCAATCAACACAGAAAGCGAGATATCTAAAATTTGTATACCCTTATAGATTTTCATTATCATACATCAATTTTAAATGCAATTCCAAATAAAATGGCTTTGAGAACCGTGTATTAAGCGCTTATCGTTCATTCGTCAATGAATCATTCACCGTGCGTGTATCGTGCGTGTATCGTGTGTTCATCATTCATCGTGCATCGTGCGTGTATCGTGCGTTCATCATTCATCATTCATTTTTCGTTAATCCTCCGTGTAACGCTCATCGCTCATCGTGCGTGTATCGTGTATCGTGCATTCACCGTGCGTGTATCGTGCATTCACCGTGCGTGTATCGTGCATGCGTGTATCGTGCGTGTGGTCAGTTTGAATTTTAGAAGGTCTGTACCAAATTTCTCAGTAATAGTAAAAGGACCTTTCCACTGCATCAACAGTTTATTCTTATCCGTAGGTAAGATCACAAGAACCTTTTCACCTACCTTCATATGTCTTTGCTTGGTCGATTTATCATAATATACCTTATTCTTCTTTGATGCAGACGCCAAATTACTTCGAGCAAGCTCACAGGTAGCTTCTAATCTCTCTCTTAAATCTATCACGTACTGATATGTAGACTTTACCTCAGGATCGTCTATCTCTTTAGTCCATAGCTCCTTTAATATTGCCATAGGTCCCCTCACCTGTTTACCATACACGAGCTCAAATGGCGAAAACTTCAGACTCTCCTGTGGAACTTCCCTGTATGCAAACAGTAATGCATTTACATACCTGTCCCAATCTTTAGGTCGGTCATGACACATTCTCTTCAACATCAGTTTTAGACTTCCATTGAACCTCTCTACTAACCCATTACACATAGGATGATAAACAGTTGTAGTTAACTGTCTAAGCGATATGAGTCTACTTACCTCAGCCATAAGCTTAGATGTAAACTGACTTCCCATATCAGTTAACATTTCCTGTGGAACTCCTACTCTAGAAAATATATCTACTAATGCCTCAGCAACACTCTCTGTCTCAATATCCTTCAAAGCTATTGCTTCAGGATAACGTGTAGCATAATCTACCAAAGTCAGTATATATCTACTACCTCTGTCTGTTCTAGGAAAAAGAGGTCCAATGAGATCAACTGCTACGCGTTTAAACGGCTCATCTATCAACGGCATAGACTGTAAAGGTACCTTACCTATTTTTCCTTTAGGAACTGTACGCTGGCATATGTCACAAGACTGACAAAATCGCTTAACATCCGCCGAAACACCTGGCCAATAAAAAGCTGATAATACTCTATCAAGTGTACGCTGTGTACCCATGTGACCTGACATAATCGACTCATGTGCTACTCTCGTCACTGTCTCGCGATGAAACTTCGGAACTACTAACTGAGTACAACTTACCCTATCAGGTTTTGACGACGAAAACTGTCTGTATATCATACCTCTTTTTAAAATCCACTTTACTTTTCCATTCTTCCGTGTAACTGTATCACCCGTTAATACATACCTTCTTATTTTATCCAACGTTGTATCTTCTAGTTGAGCTTTCTTGATTACATTTGGATTTACCTCATCTGTGATGATATCTTTTACTTTCAGTTGCACAAACGGCTTACTTTTGTTTCTTACCTGTTCTCTTGTCTCAACAGCTCCCGTTTGTTGCCACAAAGGATCAGGCTTTCCTGGTTCTCTAGCGTCCTCTACATTACCAATTATCAAGTCATACACAGGATTAGCCATACACCATCCTTCAAATTCTCCCTGTAAATATGGTGTATCTATATCAATTCTAGCTATTGGCACTTCAACTCTGGTTCCATCTGCCAAAATACATACCTGTTTTCCACCCGTTAATGACTCATTGCCAACCATATCACGTTTAACCACAATACCACTGCAACCAGTATCTCGTAAAACCGTGACTGGTTTACCATCAACATAACCTGAACTTACAGGCATACTTACATTTGCGGTTGACTGACAAGACAACGGAAGTGTACTTGTACAACCAGTAGGAATAGCATCTACTATAGAATCTGTAGGTATAGTACAGGTATTACATACTTTACCTTTAAAATTCTTTCTATCGTCTGACGATCCACTGTTGGTCTTTTGTAGATTAACTCTACAATCCGTTGCAATATGTCCATTCTTACCACACCTAAAACACTTTCTGTCCCTATTAGGTACAAATGAAGTACGTTCTGTTGGTTTTATACTTCTCTGTTCTTTCTTTGTACTATAATCAACTGGTTTCGAACCACTTTGGTTTCTTACTGAAGATGTGTTTGACTGATTACCTCTATCTATAAGATTGGAAGCACTTGTTTGTCTTGCCTCACGATACTGATCAGCTAAAGCTACCATTTTCTCTAAAGAATCTGGTATTCTCTCTTTTAAAAACAAAGACAAGTCCTTCGAACATATATGTAGAAACCGATCCCGTATAATCAAGTCATACAAACTTATATAAGTAGTATCTGTATGTGCCATATCAATCCAACGCTTAAAATAGCTATCTAACCTAACAGAAAACTGTATAAAAGTCTCACCTGGCTCTGGTCTACAACTTCTAAATCTACGTTTAAATCCTTCTTCAGTCATATCATACCTTTTTAGTAGAGCATCTTTCAAAGCTGGATAATCAAGAGCTTTATCAACCGGCATAAGTGCATATACATCAAGAGCCTTGCCCTTCAATAACGCACTAAGATGAGTGGCCCAAATATCAGGTTTCCACTTTTGAGCAGTAGCATAACGCTCAAATCTCCTAAGATAACTATCTATCTCATCCTTACCTTCTTCAAAAGCTGGAATTTTAGGTCCACGAACTGTATCATGTGACCCCCCTGTACTTACTAATTGTGGTAACTCAGCTTGTTTACTTAACTCTTCCATTTTCTGACTATGCGTCAACTTTTGTAGTTCCAATTCATTCTCAACCTTAGTTTTCTCAATCAAAACTTTTTCTATAGCTGCTTTTCTATCTCGTTCGTCTTTCTGTTCTTGCCTTAAAGCAGCCCTTTCATCTCGGACCCTATCCTGCTGATCTTTAACAAACCTTCTCAACTCATCATCTTCATACCCTAATGAAGTACCCAAATCTCTAATCTGTTGAATCTGTTCCATCTTGAACAGTCAACAAACCAAACACCAATTTCAAAAAAACAAAACGCCAGCACTCAATGTACCTACTGCAACCCTCAGTGTACTACAATCAATTACTAAATATATGTAAGTACCGATACTCACAGTTTACAATGTAGAGCAGAAACAACACCAAACCTCCAAGGCACGAACCAACATAAACACAACTGTGAAATCTGGGTCCCAAATATTCAGTTCTCCTCACAAACACCTGAAGCTATACAATTCAAACATATAATAAAACAATACAAATGGAAAAATACATGGTGAAAAAAAAAAAATACAATCAAAAATACATAAGATTGAAAATTTAAATTTAATGAAAACTCTCTAAGCCTTTTAAACAAATCCCACTTCTGACACCAATTGTCACGGATAGACGAGAGCTGACTTAGGAGTTTGTACTTACAGATAATAAATGACTACTACTGTAAATTCAGAAATTATTGCGTGCATTTATTATAGCGATTTTGTCATTCTAGACTAAAATGCGATTTTAATTTTTGCGATATTGAGAAAAATCCTATTTAATTCATGTAAAAAATTTCAAAATGCGAGTTTAAATTATTGCGATTATAACCCTGTCGCATTTTTCGCAATAATAAAAACATCGCAATAATTTCTGAATTTACAGTACTTTAAACAAAATAACAATTTAATTAGGTACAAATTTACAAATATAAATAGATGAAATCAAATGACTCGAATATTTACTACAGCCGGAAACATATAACCGTGTTAAACTTTCATTATAATGAACATTAATTAACTTATTACATTTATAAAATAGCAATGTCAAAAATTACAATTACAATTGAAATAATTATTCTATATTTGCGTTGTTGCAGAAAACTGAACACTTTAGAACGAATAATGATTAAATAAATAAGAATAAATTGAATCCTACCTCAGAAATCCAGTGTGTGTGTCCACGCCACATTGTAAACTAACTTTATACAAACATTTCTGACCACACCTTGACTCGTTAAGGTGTTACCTGAGAGTGAATAGTCAGCTCATCAAATACATGTATCACTGTTACTCAACCCATTCGACAAGTTTACAGGTAAATGCCCAAGTAAATAGTGGACACTACTTAATTAATTAGATGTAAAATGTGGACATGTATTATACACCGAAGTCTGCAGAATATAGCATTTATAAGATACTGACGTTCTGCAAATCGAAATAGAATTAACAACCAAAATAACAACATATATGTGAGTAAACAAAGTCA